TCCAGCACTCGCCAGGGTGCTGGTAACAAAGAAATTCCTCGCAACCCTGAGCTGCAAGAAATGTCTCGTGAAGATCTTGCTGCACTGAGGGACAGGCTGAACGCGGAATTGCAGCGACAAGAAGCCAGCACTGCACACCAGTCACTTCCCGACCCAAACATTGCAGAAACAGCCGCGGAGGAGGAGTCTAACAAAAATCCCGCAACAGCAGATGTTGCCGCCAATACGTCTCAGCCTGACGCCGATCCGGAGGATAACCAACTCAACGCTCTAATCGACGAGGGCGAAGGTCCTGGCGAGGGTGAGGAGCAGGACGAGGGTGAGGGACATCCAGACGAGTGCGAGTTAGCCGAAACTCCCGTTGTACTGCCTCAGGACGATCCGGCCGAGGATGACCGTCCTGAGAGCCGAAGGCGCAGCGCCGATGTCGCTGGCCTCATGGGCGCTGACCCAGCGGCTCACGCGTCAGCACGTGGGAAAAAGCCGAAGCAACCAGGTTAGTAACTTCTGTCCGGTTTCTGTATTTTTGCAAATTGACGTTTGTGCCACATAGTTTCGTCCAGGCAACCTACTAACCTACTTTTTTCTGTTCTTCCATTTTGTTTTTTACCTCGCAGCTCGACCGATTCCGGTTAATGAGCAGGTGGCACAGAACCGCGACATGGAGCGGACGATTGCGCAACAGGCCGACACACTCGCGGCCCTCCGTCAGCAGCTGGAAGAACAGGAACAGGAGGCTGCACGAATGCGAGCAGTCGTTGCTGCCCGCCAGCCGCCTGCCCCAGCAACGGGAGGTAGCCCCGGCCCATCATCTTCCAACAGCCGGAGTACCGGAGCTGGCGCTGGTTTGCTGCACGCAACTGCGCAGCGCAGCAGCCCGCCCTCGACCACCAACGCGCCTGGGCCATCGACGGCTCCAGTCGTGCAGGAGGGTGCGGCAATCCCCCCTGTGCTCCTGGACCTATCATTTTTCAAGGTTAGTGTGCTGGGTTTTTTAAGTTCGTACTGTTGACTTTGTATCTCTCGTTGACTGACTGACTCGTTTTTAATTCTAACAAATGCCTATTCTTCGTTGTCGTCGTTATGTGCAGCAAAAGTGCAACGACGCGGTCAACTACTTCATAGCGGGAGCTCCAGCGAGAGAGCAGTCATTTTACCCCTCCCTGGCACAGCTTAGGCGCAAAGTGCAGGAGCTGTACGAGGACGTCGGGGTGCCACTTGACATGTTCAACCGGGTGATGGCGGAGAATCCCGAGCGCGAGCGCATCATGCTGCAGAAGATGTCGGAGCGCCGTTGCAACATCTACGCGGTGGTTAAGCCTTACGCGCATGGCCCTGGTGGCTATATCACCGAGAACAAAGTCGCGATGCTTGCGAGCGAGAACATTGCGCCATCGCGTCGCCGCACGCCTGCAGAGTGGCACGCCCACTTTCGGGATGGTGAGTTTTTTTTTTTTTTGTAGCGCTTACTAGCAACAACACCCCTACAGTCTAAAACTCCCGTCCCGTTTAATCCTGGCAGCTGTGTATGGTTCGAATTGGCACTGTGACGGATCTGGCCGCCCTTTTGCCAGCCGACCGTTCGAGCTCGCCATCTGCAAAGGACTTGGCGGCAAGCGCTGCAACCGCTTCAACGTCAAGATCCCTGCTGTGGCAACAATTTGCCATGTGGTAAGTCGTTTTTCTTTTCCTGTTGGTCATTATTTTTTCAATACATATTAGATATGCACTCATGCCTTTGTGGTTTCCTGCAGGTGGAGTGGCCTATGGCAAACCACAATGGCCGTGCCAACCCCTCCCTGGATGCCTCTGATGAGAATAACAGGGCCGCCGTGGCTGCAAAGGTTCTTGTTGTCATCTCTTGGATCAAGGCCCGGCTCGAAGCACGCGAAGCTGTTTACTCTGATGAAGCTCCTGCAGGTTTTGTTATGGGCAGTGGAGCTGTGAAAATCCTCATCGAAGGATTTGAGTTTGCATTTGAAGGACTTGTGTAGGGCTACCGCAAGGTTGCTCTGTAGGATAGGTAGCGTTCTGACTCTATGTGTGCCTTCTAATGTAACTGTTTTATGAGAAATATAACGATTAATTCGGGTACTGTTTACTGGATGGGTGGTAAATGAATAGGTATGCGAATTAATTCTGTCTCCTTACATAAGGATAATCAACCTGTCCATGACAGTATAGTTTGGGCCAATGTAACACCATTTATGACAGACTTGAATAATGGCACGGCAATTAATAGGGATTTTTGTGCCTCTAATAAGCAGGCAATTATTGCACGCCTTTAACAATCGATAAACTGTGGGCCAGTTTCTAGACATTTGCATGCCATATACAGCCATGAACAAGCATTGAGGTGTACCTGAATATTGGCGTAAACAGCCATTCCGCGCGATACACAGGCGGGGAATTTACGGACCCTAAATGCCTACGAACCTGCCTGTATACAGCCCGCCAGTTTCGGGCCATAAACCTGCCATACAGAGGGTGATTATGGCTTTAAATTGCCATTCTTAAGGTCGACTTTTTTGAGATGCATTGGGCAGAAGCGCGTATTCTTCCGATTTTACAACGACAACCATTGCCAGCACTAGTACTAGCAGTAGTGCCCCGCCCTACAATCATGGGGGATACGGCGATATTTTACACCGAAAGTGAGTTTTATCCACTGTCGCAAACATTCGAAAAGCATATGTTCGGCTGGGTGTAAGATTCTATAGAACTTTACAAAAACCAGCCCGGCTGGCCGTCTGAGCATCAAGTGTTGTGACGATGCTTGACACTGTGGAGGACATGAAATTGACAGCACATATATTCCACGCACGCCCATCCCATGCACGCCCATCCCACGCACGGCCATCCCATGCACGTCATGCCATGCACCTGCGTGTGTGGTTACCACGAGTGCATCATCCTTCTGCTTGTCCCTCTCTCTCCCCCCTGCCGTTCTCACCCCTCTCCCTCCACCTGCTCTATCCCATTCACCCTCATCCTGCTTTCATCCCTCTCCTTCCTCTCATCACTATCCTTCCCCTGCTCTCACCCCTTCACCCGTCTCCTTCATTCAACCTCTCCCGTCTCTGCCAGCTAATTGCACTCTCGACTGCACGCGCGGCTATGGTACTTGTCCAACGAGTGCGTGTGTGGCTAATTTCCTCTCTTCATCCCTCACTTCCCTTCTCCTGTGTCCCCCAGCCGATTGCATTCTCATGTGCAGCCATGGCACCTGCTCGTTGGGATATTACGGCTATGTGTGCACGTGCAATCCTGGTTATTACATGATCAACGGCCAGTCTCCTTGTCTCTTGCCCACTAGTACGTGTTACATTCGTGCCACTGCTACATGCTACACCCGTTCTGCATACGTGCTTACAGCAGTCCGTTTTGCGGCCATGCCAGATCCATGCCCGAGCCATGCCCGAGCCATGCTACATCCATGCTTTGACCTCCCGACATTCACCTTCATCTTGCTACAGCCGTGGCACAGGAACCGATCAAAAGAGCACCCAGCAACTTCCCGTGCCCCTCCCAACCCCGCCGTGCCTGGCAGACAAAGGCTCAACCAACACCTCCTCTCCCTCCTCCTCCTCCTCCTCCTCCTCCTCCTCCTCCTCCTCCTCCTCCTCCTCCTCCTCCTCCTCCTCCTCCTCCTCCTCCTCCTCACCCTCCCCCTCCTCCTCAAGTATCTCTCCAGGGGCAATAGTTGGCATCGTGATTGGTGTTCTTCTGCTGCTGTTAGCAGTTGCAGGGCTGGTCTTTTATCTCTACCTTAGGCGCAGGCAGAGACGCAACGAAGGGTTACCGGCATGGGAACCCGGCAAGGCGGCTCAGATGAATGCTTATGTGGCAGGAGGAGAAGGGAACTCGACCGGTGCTGGTAGTTTGGCGTCAGGGCAGGGAGGGTATGGGCAGGGGTACGCGGGGAGTTATGGCATGTATGGGAGTGGGAGTGTGGGCGGTGGGAGTGTGGGGAGCGGGAGTGTGGGGATTGGGGGTGCGGGAAGTGGTTACATGGGAGGAGGTAACCTGGGTTATGCAGCAGGAGTGGGAGGAGGAGGAGGAGGCGCAGGAGGAGCGTATGGGGTCGCAGGAGCAGGGAGTTACAACTCTGGAAGAATGATACACCCCATGTACATGGGAAGTAAGTGGGTAAAATGCCTTTTGTACACGCGAAGTAAGTGGGCTATTTGCCTTATCTACCTGAGGTGTATGTAGGTGATTTACCCCAAGTACATGGAAAGCAACTGTCTGTTTCATCCCGTCGGGAGCGCCTTCTCCCCGTTCCCCTCTCCTCCTCCCAATCCTTCCCCACTTGTCCGCCCTCTCCCCCTCCACTGCAGGCGGATCCCTCAGGCAAGCTCCAAGCGGGCCGCACCAGCAGCAGCAGCAGCAGCAGCAGCAGCAGGACGGGGGGGGGGCGCGTTGACTACGCGCCTCAAGTGTGTCAGAAGTTCTCCTATGCGGACATGGCGCACGCCACCAACAACTGGGCGGAGAGCAACCGCATCGGCAGCGGGGGCTTTGGAGACGTGTACCGGGGGGTGTGTCCGTACGATCCCAGTGTGGCGTGGGCTGTGAAGCGAGGCCGATTCATTACCAAGGACTTTCACAGAGAGGTATGCTGGGGTTCCAGGGGCGTTCCACGGGCGGCCAAGGGGCGTCCAAGGGGCGTCCAAGAGGCGTCCAAGAGGCGTCCATATGCCAACACTATTCTTACCTGTCTTTTCGAGTCACTCACGTCCCCCACACTCTTTCCCCACATGCACAAATCCCCCTTCCCATCCTCCCTCCCTCCTCCAAGTAGCAGTCATGGCAACGAAGCATCACCCCAACCTGGTGCGTCTACTGGGGTACTGCGTGGACATGCACCCAAGTGGCAGCCTTGCAGGGGCAACCTGAGCATGGAGCAGATATTGGTGTACGAGCTCTTGCCTCGCAGGGAAGGGGGTGCCACTGCTGCCGCCTCTCATCATATCACCCACCCAAATTCCCTCCTCCAGGTGGCAGCCATGGCAACGAAGCACCACCCCAACCTGGTGCGTCTACTGGGGTACTGCGTGGACATGAACCCAGCAGCGCAGGGTAGGGGAGACATGAGCATGGAGCAGATCGTGGTGTACGAGTTCATGGCCCACGGAGACCTCGAGCACTGGGTGGGGGAGGCGGCGCCACAGCCGCTGCCAATAGCGCAGCGCCTGTCGGTGCTTATCGGTGCAGCCCATGGGATAGAGTATCTGCACAGCTTTGGCATCGTGCATCGGGATATCAAGCCCGCCAACATCCTGCTCGATGACAAGTTCGAGGTCAGCTCCTGTCACCTTCTCTCTGTCTGTCATTTCTCGGTTGTCATAAGCACCGCTCTCCGACATTCCCCTGCTGTTAGAAGCACCACTCTCAGACATTTCTTTGTTACGAAAAGCACTTCTTCCAGCTCAGCACATTCACCCACGTCAGCGCTTCCTTCCAGGTGAACGTGGGTGCCATTGCACCTGTGCTCCATCCACCATTCCAAGATTGCCGCCTCTCTGGGCTGCTGAGGGAGGGTGCAGGCTCCACCGTGGCCGCCGGGAATGATTTGAGATGACTCAACAGAAATGCGCCACCTCATCTCTCGCTTGTCTCATCTCATCGCCACGTAGCCCAGTCTAAGATTGCCTCACCATAACACCCCCCGCCTTGTCTCAACGCATCACCCCCCTCCATGTGTCACCATGACACCCATCGCACCAGGCCAAGATTGCTGACTTTGGATTGCTGAGGGAGGGAGAGGGCACCACTGTGTGCGCCACCAGAGTGATGGGCACACCGGGCTATGTGGACCCTGCTTACTTCAAGTCCAGCAAGGCCACCCCCATGGCTGATGTATACAGGTACAGTGCGGTGCAGAGCTGTACAGAGCAATGCAGGGTGGTACAGAGTGGTGGAGAGCGGTGCCAGCGGGTATGGTTGTAAAAGGGAGTGCATGGGAGTGATGGACACACTGGGCTACGTAGACCCTGCTTATTTCAAGTCCAGCAAGGCCACCTTGTATTGCTCAGTGCGGTGCAGAGAGGTGCGATGTAATATCGAGCATTACCGAGCAAACCAGAGCGGTACTGTGCAGTATGGCGCAATACTGCATGGTGCAATCAGGCAGTGGCATTGCACACACGTGCGTTGTATGTTGTTCAAACCCTAGTTCGTGCTTTCCCACACTGAGTTCCTCGTCCCTGTACCCAGTTATCTCACTTTTATATCGGAGTCACTTTTGAAAAATTCTCGAGAGTACACCAGTTTGCCATGTCTTCTCCGTAACCATACTCAAACCGCCACGCGCTCCTGTCCGTAACTACTCCCATTGTGCACCCAAGGTTATCCCTGCTCCGAAGCCCCTCAGATTTGGCGTGGTGATGCTGATGGTGCAGCCAGCATGGCATGCCCGGAATCCACCCACTCATTCATTTCCCCATTCACCCATCCACCCATCCAACCCAACCATCCGCACTTCCCACGGCCTTTCAGCTTCGGTGTGGTGATGCTGATGGTGCTATCGGCACGACCAGCAGTCATCACAGACGGCACTGACTCCCAGCTCAACATTCGCAAATGGGTAAGCCTGCCATGCCATGCCAACCCATACCATATGATGCCATGTGAGGCCACACCATATGATGCCATGTGAGGCCACACCATATGGTGCCATGTGAGGCCATACCATATGATGCCATGTGAGGCCACACCATATGGTGCCATGTGAGGCCACACCATATGGTGCCATGTGAGGCCATACCATATGGTGCCATGTGAGGCCATACCATATGATGCCATGTGAGGCCATACCATATGATGCCATGTGAGGCCATACCATATGGTGCCATGTGAGGCCATACCATATGATGCCATGTGAGGCCATACCATATGATGCCATGTGAGGCCATACCATATGATGCCATGTGAGGCCATACCATATGATGCCATGTGAGGCCATACCATATGATGCCATGTGAGGCCATACCATATGATGCCATGTGAGGCCATACCATATGATGCCATGTGAGGCCATACCATATGATGCCATGTGAGGCCATACCATATGATGCCATGTGAGGCCATACCACATCATGCAATGCTATGCCATACCATATAATTTCATGCCATACCATGCTCGCAATGCCATATCAAACCCAGCAATATCAATCCAAGCCATGCTGTGATATCTCAAGAGGGAACGGTTGCTTTCTGGCATGACATGATGTGTCACGCTATGTCAAGCCGTATCAGCAAAGCCATGCATGACAATGCATGTCATGCAATGTCATGCCAAGCCATGCCATACCATATCCTGACTGCGTGCTTTTCCTTTGGCTGGGTCGAAAACTCCCCATTCCAGCAGGTAATGCAATGACTTGTCCGTTTACCTTCACTCATTCCTCTTGCCGCCTTTCCTCGTGCTGAGCTGTTCACAACACATTCATTCCATGTGCCAACCCCTTTCCCTGTGTCCATCAGGCGGAGGACCTAATAAAAGCAGGCAGAGCAGACCAGCTCAAGGACCCCCGACTGGACGCTCCCACAGATTTGATTCTGCGGATGGCACAGCTGGCGCTGCACTGCACGGCCATGCCGACCGTATCTCGTCCCGACATGATCCAGGTGGTATCTGAGCTCACGGCACTCAGGAAGGCGTTTTGGGGGGAGGTAGCACCTAAGATGGCTGTGAGGATAGATGAGGAGGTGGAGGAGCAGAGGGGTGGGTGCTTTGAAGATGAAATAGCTGCTGTAGAGCGCATGATGATGGACACGAGTACTGGTATCAGCGCCATGAAGTGATGGGTAAGAGTGATGCCACTGATGGTGGTAGTAATGTAGCAGCCATGCATGAAATGTTGGGTAGGAGTGATGAGAGGAAGTGCTATTGGGAGGTAGGTATAGAGGGTATGAGAGAGGACTCTTACTTCAAACATCACTTTTGTTGGATTCAGCTAACATGCTGTTAGATTTTAGAAGTGTGATCCTTATTATAAGGCTCCAGGCGCTACAATTCTTGCCCCCGATTATTATCACCTAGTGTGGTGTTAAATTACCGCAAAGTGCCGCCTATAGGACCCGGGGGACTCTCTAAAAATGCTTAGAAAAATGCTAGGGTGGCCATTATGGCGGTTGCAATTTTTGAAGACCCGGGGTACACTTATTTATCAGCTATCATTCTGTTTTTTAGGGTGTACGGCATAAATTGGGGCGGGGGGGTCTTATATTTGTAACGAAATACAGGCTTTCGTGCGCCGATTTTGCGCGAGCGGCGCGTCAGATCTGTGTCAGAATTTGAGTGACACGTGTCAGAATTTGAGTCCGACACAAAAGGCGTGTCAGAACTCGAATTTCTGCCAATATTAACCGACTCACAATAGCAATAACAATTACTGTATACAGAAAAGGGGGGTCTTATGATGAACGGGGGCAAAAGGGGGGTCCTCACAAAACCTGCCACAATAAGAGTCCCCCTACCCATTCAAGAGTCCCGGGGGACCCTCTTACCGGCGGGTCCTATAGGCGGCACTTTACGGTAACAGTAAAGTAATGCATATCCACACATCATCCTCTTATAGTACATAGCCAAACACAGTACTCTGCAGAACCAACAACATTCCCATCCCACTACCACTCGTCGAAATTCACCGACACATAACCCGCATACAGCCTCCCACTGGTGGCCTTGAGCTCATTAATCAGCCGGTTCCAGTTGGACCCCAGCACTCCCACAAAGTAATCCGCCTGTGATGAGATGAGCAGGTTGGCGAAGCTGAGCCCTGCAAGCTTTGCTACCCCGACAGTCTCCTCGTATTGAAGAATGGAGATTGCGCCGGTCTGTCGGAGGTTTGTGGAGTAGAAGAAGGTCCAGTCGTTGTATTTCCCCGCCTGGTCTACCACACTCTGAGAGGGCGGATTAAGGAGGGAGGATGGGTAGGAGGGGGGTGCGGGGGGGGTCAAAGAATGAAATAAGGTGAATGTTGAGTGAACTTAACAGGTGGAGTAGGGACCAATGATGACGAATCTTTGATGACTGTCTGTCGTTTAAGAATCGAGCTTCTAGCCCCTAACTCACCTGCATTTCAGTGCTGAGCCACACGTATTTGAGGTGCGGTATCCTCCGTCTGAGCCTATTGGCCATGAACACAAACGAGGGGAACGAGGTCAGTTGCATCTCGCGCGCCTTGTCTCCTTGCCGCACGTGCATGCTCACAATCGGCCGCGGGATATACGGCTCCCCGCCCACTCCCTCATACACGGAATCAGCTGCGTGCTTCGGCGCCTGGGGATCTGTATGGTTGTCTAGCGAACACCCTGCATAGTCCAGGCCCGGCCAGACCTCACTCTCGAGGTTTGGCATGGAGTAATTCACGTGTGAGAGCGTGTTGACCTCCTGGTCGTAGTTAATCGAGAGGCCCTTGCGGGAGTCATCGGGCTTGATGGCTTTAATAATGGCTTCCTGCTCGGCTGCAGTGCTGACCATGTGGATGGCGATCTGTTGGCCGTACGCGTTGTGGCGCACGCGGTTGGTGATGTGGCACATGTATGCCGAGGGCCAGCGCAGCATGAAGCGGATCGCCTGCGCTCGCCACCAGTGCACCTGGTGCGGCGAGGCAGGGATGCAGAGAGGTTGGAGGAAGGAGGAACATGAAGCTTCCCGCCCTAGGCTCGACACCACCAGTGCAACTGGAGGGCAGAAGGGGTTGCAGAGCAGGTGAGAGCGGAGAGGAGGGGGTGGGGGGTGAAAGGAGTTTGAGATGACTCAAAGGTCACAGTGGAAGGCCTGGGCTCGCCACCAGTGCACCTGGTGTGAGGCGTGGGGGGGGGGAGACCATGACAACGATGGTGGGAGGGAGTAAGGGGGCAGGGGGGGACACGTGGAGTGGAGTGGAGAGGAATGGGGCGATGGTGTGGATTGGACTGGACTTGACTGAACTGAGTGGGTGAAGCCTCGAACACATAAAGGTGTGCAAGAGCGTATTTTCGCTAGTGTATATACGCAATACGCTGCTTGGAGTGGGTCTGGTACGCACCAGATTCGTTGGCTCGGGAGGTAAGAACTTTTTCACAGGCAGGGGATTTAGTTAAGAGGGGGGCCTGGACTGGGTGCTAAGCACCCACCCGGCCCATTTACTTAATAACCTAAGTAAACTCTAATGCTGCTCCATCATCCGCCAACCGTTTTCCTTTCCCGCCTCAATACTAGACCAGCCTAGTCCTCCCTCCATACGCGTCTACTCTACTCGTAGTTGTCGGTGAGAACCAGTCTGCTGAAATCGAGAAGTAGGAAGTTTACTGAACACGAATGAGATATAGGCCCTGTTCGCCAGCACTTAAAAAGATTTGAAGGCAGCGGGATGGCCTTGGGATCACGAAACGGGGGCGGAACCATCCGAATAGGTTTTGGGGGCTCAACAACCTCACGAAATCCCACCAGAAAGGGGAAGGGTGGCAACGGAATCAAGAACCACCCTCTCCACCTTCCAAGCTGCCTAACCAAAAATTGGTTCGTAAATAAATTTTCCTTATCGGGGGCTTCAAGAACGTCAAGGGTAAAAAACGCTTGGGACAACGGCCGCGTCACCAGAGGTGCAATTACAAGGGCAGATCTACACACCAAATATGGGTGTAAGCGAGTGGGCGAATGACCAGGTGGAGGATTGTTTTTCTACCCTAATGCCAACGCCATCCCGTTGCAAATCTGCGCCAAGGGGGGAATGACGATGGGATGGCATCGGGCGCAACCTCTGCCTGGAGACGAATCTGCGTAGGAGTTTACTATTTCCGTGATCCGTTCTGAAATGGTGTAAGGAAATTCCTTTTTCCTTACTTCGCGTCCCTGCTCAGCGCGTACGTCACTGTAGCACCTCAGTCAGCACCGTTACCACTCGCGACCATCGCATCATTCATCATCCCGCCCTTTTCGCACATCGCATCCCGACCTCACGGCTCGGCTGGTAACCCGCGCTCCGGGCCTACGCTTCGACACTTTCCCAACCTCAGTCCCAGGCTCGACGCGCGACAACCACAGTCCATTACCGTTACCACTATTGTTTCGCTATATAATCCTTCGCTCATGCCTTCGCTCATTGTACTTTGCTTCGATAGTGCAATTCTCGTTCGTCCACTCAATTGCACTCGTAACACTTGGTATTCAGAGCCTACGATCCCATCTCGGACCGCATCCACACCTTCGCTTCCCACTATCTCAATTTTTGGGGGGGGGTAGACGTCTCTCAGCGACACAGCACCGCCGCTCGTAGTGCTCTCTCGCAAGCACGCACGGCCACGACCGAGGCTCTCGCTGAGCTTGCCCGACACCCCCACCATGGCCGACCTCAATCTCGCCACGTTGACGCAGGAGCAACTCGATCGTCTCGTGCGACAATTGGAGGATTCGGCGCTTGAAATCGCGACGCTCACGGCGGAACGTGACTCCGCCCGTCAACAGTCAACGGTGAATGCTCCGACGACATCCCACGCACCAACCAATGTTTCTGTACATTCGGAGGAGCCGATTGTCATCTCATCCGACACACCAACGCAACACAACAGCACGGGACAGCGCTCAGGCGCAGCCAGTGACGGCGCAGCCCAACCGATGCCCGGCATGGGAGGGAACAGGAGCACGCTAAGCCCACGGGAGCCCCGAGAAGCCCGTCGGCACGTGGAGTTTGCGGCGACAAGTGGTGAAAACGCCATGATGGCCCCAATGCCACTCAAGCCGCAACGCCCGCCCTGCTTCGACTCAAGCCGCAACGCCCGCCCTGCTTCGACCCAAGCCAACGCGGCGGCCCGACAGTTCAATCGTGGATCTTCACGATGAATGTGTTTTTCGACACCAACTACGTCGAGTCGGACGCCGCCAAGATTCGGTATGCGGTTTCACTACTCAGGGGCCCCGCCATGGACTGGTGGCGAGTCATCGTGACGTCGCCACGCGCCTACGAGCCACCGTCGCACGAGGAAGGGCCCTCGGGTCTAGCTGTCACCTGGAGTTCGTTCTGTGAAACAGCCCAATACAGCACGTGGGATGCGTGGTGCGCAGGGCTTCGGGCGCGCTTTGAGCCGATCGCGGCTTCGATTTCGGCGCGTCAGAAACTGCGCACTTGGCGCCAGCTCGGGTCGGTTCAAGACTACACCAGCGGTTTTCTCGCACTTTGCGAATAGGTCGGCTACATGCACGAGGCGGAACGGGTGGACCGTTACGTCGGAGGGCTGAAGCCAGACATATCGCACGAGATAATGCTACGCGGGCTATCGAATTTCAACGAAATCCTCGCGCTCGCCGAGAAAATCAATATCCTACGCCGACCGAGACCGGGGTCCTATTTCGGACATCGCCCTCGGGGACCGATCGAGCACGCCACTATACATGCCGTCGCAACGAATGCAACTGCCACGCCATTTAGAGGGCGCTGCTTTGCTTGCAACCGGCCGGGCCATCGCAAGAGCGAATGTCCAGAGGAGCTGAGGCGTCGAGGAGCAGAGCAGGGGAGGGAGTCTCAGAGGCAGGGAAACGCCAGCAGTCAGTAGAAGTTGGGCCAACTACTGACGAGACTGCCTGCTCGCCCAACCACACCGACCCTCACCGAGTCACAGTACCGATTCACGCCATCGATCGGGCTCGGATGAATAAGGAGGGTACAGCGACGGATTGCCCGGTACTGATCTACGGGAAAATACAGGGAGCAGCAGTGAAAATCTTCATTGACGGAGGAGCAAGTCACAGCTTAGTTAATACTGCAACCGCACGGAAATTATAGTTAACACTTAACCGATGTTTACCTGAGATAGATGCACGCTTAGTCGACGGCACGCCATTGGCCATACGAGAAAAAGTGGAGCGAGTAAAAGTCCGCTGCGGGGGAAACTTCGGGTTTACACAGGAAATGCTCGCAACGACGCTGGATGGGCACGACATTTTACTGGGACGTGATTGGCTGCGACAGTACAACCCACGGATCGACTGGACGACGGGGAGCTGCACAGTGCGAAGTAGTGGTAACTGGGTCGTCCTACCTCGCTGGCGGCCACGCGAATCTTCGACAGTCCAGGTCAACGCCATCACGATGAAACGGGCTGTCGCTGCTGGAGCTGACGTGTACGCAGTGGATATCGCAGTAGTAGAAAAAGACGAGCAGCAGAGTGATTTAGAGAAACTACTAGCAGCCGTACCGACCGAATTACAGGCACATCTGAAACGGTTCCCAGGGATATTTCCGGATGATTTACCACAGGGACTGCCACCTCAACGAGCGCACGACCATAGGATCGAGTTAGAACCGGGGGCACAGCCAACCATACAGCGGCAATTTCGACTGACACAGCCCGAGCTCGACGAGTTAAGGAAGCAGTTAGATTACCTGTTAGAAAAGCAGTTTATTCGACCAAGCTCGTCACCGTTCGCCGCACCCATATTGTTCACACCGAAAAAGGACGGAGGTTTTCGCATGTGCATCGACTACCGAGCGCTTAACAGGGTAACAGTCAAATCGCGATACCCCATCCCCCGCGCCGATGAACTGATTGACCAACTGCGAACAGCACGTGTCTTTTCGAAAATAGATTTACGGGGAGGTTACCATCAGATTCGGGTCGAACCATCGGGCTGCGCAAAAACAGCATTTCGGACTAGGTACGGGTCATTCGAGTATACAGTAATGCCTTTCGGGTTGACGAACGCGCCTGCGACTTTTCAGATGACCATGAACGAGGCATTTAGGCCACTTTTAGATAAATGCGTGATCGTTTACCTCGACGATATCCTCGTTTACAGTCGGGATAAGCAGCAACACTTAGCAGATCTTGAAGCAGTTTTTGAGGTTTTAGAGGAACATCGGCTGCTCACCAAGGGCTCCAAGTGCGAGTTTTTTAGGGATAGGCTAGAGTTTTTAGGTCACGTCATTTCCGAGGCTGGGGTTGAAATTGACCCAAAGAAGCTGGACACGGTAAAAGCGTGGCGCCCCCCGACGAACATCACGGAACTGCAGAGTTTTTTAGGGTTTGTTAATTACGTTCGACGGTTCGTGCCCGACATGGCACGTTTAACAGCCCCACTAACTGATTTACTGCGTAAGGGGGTCGCTTTTACGTGGGGGGAGAAAGAGCATGCTGCCTTCTCTGCCCTAAAAAACGTTCTCTGTTCACCACCCGTCCTACGCATCGCTGATCCCCACCGCCCTTTCGAAGTGGTTACCGACGCAAGTGACATCGCCATCGGAGCTGTACTGTTACAGGACTTCGGCAACGGCCTCCAACCCATCGCCTACGAATCACGCAAACTACATCCGCCTGAGCGAAAATACCCGATACACGACCGCGAAATGCTCGCGATCGTGCATGCATTCAAAGTTTGGCGCTGCTACTTGACCGGCGCAGACGTGACAGTACGGACAGACCACCGATCTCTACAGTACCTCCGCGCACAGCCCCACCTCAACCCACGACAGATTCGATGGCTCGATTTCCTCGAGTCGAATTTTCACTATACGGTCACATACAAAAAAGGAGCATCGAATATCGCCGACGCACTGACCCGCCCCACTGCCCAGATTCACGCAATACTACTCGCCCAGACCAGCCCACTGCTGACAGGCCTATTTACCCACGGATATCAAACAGACCCGTTCTTTACGAAGGCAACTCACAGCAATTCGCAGCGGCAAAAGGAGTCTATTACGTAAAAACTGGAACCGACCGCATCTGGGTACCGGGATACACACTACTGCGGGAACTACTGTTACAGGAAGCACACGACGGAGTTACCTCGGGACATTTTGGGGTAGAAAAAACACGGCAGCAGCTGCAGCGGTACTACTACTGGCCAGAAATGTTGATCGACGTGCAACGACACGTGGCATCGTGTCCCACTTGCCAGCTCATGAAGTCAAGCAGGAAGCGACCAGCGGGACAATTACAACCCATCCTGCCTCCAGAGCGTGCTTGGCAGCAGGTGACGATGGACTTCGTCACAGGGTTACCAGCTGGGGCGAGTGGGAATGACGCGATCCTGGTCGTCATTGATCGACTAACGAAAATGGCTCATTTCGTAGCATGCAGGAAATCCATCACAGCTGAAGAAACCGCCCGACTCTTCATCTCCACCGTCGTACGACTACACAGGATACCCGCGTCGATCATCAGCAACAGGGACACGAAATTTACCAGCAACTTCTGGCGGAACCTGTGGCAGCAGTTCGGCACGCGCTTACAGTTCAGTTCATCCTATCACCCCGAAACCGACGGACAGACGGAACGGACAAATCAAATCATGGAGCAGCTGATACGAGCCACGTGCGACGACCCGAATACGTGGGAACAGTAGCTGCCACTCATCGAGTTCGCATACAATAACGCACCATCAGCCACGACGCAACAGTCGCCGTTTTATTTAAATTACGGACAGGACCCAACAGTACCCATGACACCGAATCCCGACAACCCCGTCCCACGAGCACAACAGTTCGCCGAGATTTTGCAAGCAGCACGGACCAGGGCAGCAGAAGCAATCAAAAAATCAAACATCATCGCTAAACGCAACGCCGATCGACATCGCAGACCCGTTACTTATCAGCCCGACGACCTCGTTTTACTCGACACTCAGAACCTTCGCCTGCCCATCACTCCAAAACTTCCACCCTGATATTGTGGGCCATTTCGCATCAGCCACATGATCACACCCGTCACCGCCCACCTCCTCCTCCCTGCTGACTGGTACGTCAGCCCGTCATTCCACGTCAGCCTACTTCGCCCTTACATCCCATCCACGAGCCAACTGCCACGAAATCGCCCAGCCAGCATGACACGTCCCCCAACCGAACCACTCATCACCCCTGAAAAAATCCTCAGCCACCGAGTCCGCGACCCTCGGGGAGCCCGAAGGATCGAGTTCCTAATTCGCTGGAAGGACCGAACGCCCACAGAAGACAACTGGGTCCCCCTGGATAAAATTGAGAACCACCCTGTCTTCACCGAGTATCTGCGAAGCCGAAATTTCCGCGACGTCCATGCGCTCTCGTAAGAGGGGCCTCCTTGGGGAGGGGGGTAGTGTAAGGAAATTCCCTTTTCCTTACTTCGCGTCCCTGCTCAGCGCGTACGTCACTGTAGCACCTCAGTCAGCACCGTTACCACTCGCGACCATCGCATCATTCATCATCCCGCCCTTTTCGCACATCGCATCCCGACCTCACGGCTCGGCTGGTAACCCGCGCTCCGGGCCTACGCTTCGACACTTTCCCAACCTCAGTCCCAGGCTCGACGCGCGACAACCACAGTCCATTACCGTTACCACTATTGTTTCGCTATATAATCCTTCGCTCATGCCTTCGCTCATTGTACTCTGCTTCGATAGTGCAATTCTCGTTCGTTCACTCAATTGCACTCGTAACAAATGGTCTGAAATGGTGGGTATTCGACAGCCTGTTAGGGCGTGTTACATTTTCGAATTTTCCGTACGGTCCGGACACTCACCACTCTGAAACAAAGTGAAACCCACTTGAACAAAGCGTTTAACAAATAAACCGATTTAAACCGTTAGACGGTCCGGTCCGTTTGGAAAAAAACCGAAAATGTAACACGCCCTTAGAAGTGCTGGCGAACAGGGCCTTAGGGCGACGTCAGGTTGTACAGCTTTTTGTACGCCCTCTCTGGTAAATTTTGTTTTAACAAAGTGCAGAGCGGTAATTGTCGAGAATCGCTTTTAACCGTGCTGGACCGTCCTGAACCAGGATACATGAACTGTGAACGCGTGTGGAATGTATAACCTGACGTCGCCCTTAGAAATCTCGGATTGTCATGAGATTTCCGGTGGGGGGTCATCTTGGACAAGTTGGAGTTCGTAGATGGGATGGGTTACTGATGGGTTTCAATGCGGTAGTGATCCGAGATTCAACATCGAAACATCGAGAACAGATTTCCGCTTGCCTAGATTGCCGATTAGGGCGCGTCCCCTCCCTCGATCGATCGTGCAAAACCGACCACGATCGATCGTCCACCGCACTGAAATCTTGCGTTGTTCTGTTTTCAACTATTTGAACCCTTTTCGACCGTTCCCAGGATCGATCCTGCACACGATCGATCGAGGGAGGGGACGCGCCCTTAGAATTTCGACTTCGGCGAAGTCCTCGCAAAGAAAATCCGCATCCTTTTCGCGATATTTTTTCGAGGAGCCCGATTTTTTTTCCGACTGCGTATTGCGCGTTCTATCGAGTACAGAGTATATACGCGATACGCTTGAGGAACTGAGCGTATTTTCCAACATTGACCCAGAACGCCAATGCAGAAAGCCACAGACAGGGACAACATACTGCATGAGCCTGTGAGCTCCACCACATTCAACTGCAGTTAGAAGCGTTACAAAACCCACCTGCCACTGCACGGGGTTAGCGGACTCCATGGCGTGTTCACGGTAAACACAGATCAGACTCAAGCCCACAAATCTAATAAGCCTCTCCCCCACGCATATGTGTTAAAGCACAAGAATGGGCACCTGTTGCTGATCGGGGGTGATAGGGTGCATGGAGCCTGCGAGCTCCACCACGTTGGGCCGCTGCAGGTACGCGTCACCCCACTCCCTGGGAGGAGGGGACCGGACAGGGGTAGGGGCGAGGCGGGAGGGCAGTGAGAAGGAGGTGGGGGCAGGGACAGGGGCGACGAGCGGGGCTTGGATAGGGGAAGGGGAGAGGCAGGGGGAGGGAGAGCGGTTTGAGTGGAATCAAAACGAGCCTGTCAGCTCCACTACGGTGGGTTGCTTTGGTATGTATGGCCCAGTCCGTGGGAGGAAGGAAACAAGGGTACGGGTAGGAGAGGGGGGTTGGGGGGAGGAGCGGAAGGCGGGGGAGAGGAAGAGGGAGAAGGAGGGGTAGCAGGAAATGGAACGGGATGGGGAGAGGAGAGCATTTCACGGTCACAGGGTGGGTGGAGGAGAAAGGAGAGTAAGGGGAAATGCTGTATTGCTTGGACTAGCTGTGCTGGATCCATACCATACGCCTTGCCTGCGCCCTTAGCGCACACGCGGAGGTTGTCTGACTAGCGATACTCTGAGGCGCCTAAGACACAGTGCTGCTTGCAGCCTTTTGAGCAACTACCCACCTGGAAGCATCCGATCCAGGCAAAGGAGATTGGACTTCAAGGCGATCCAAGAGAGCAGCCTTAACGCGCACCACCACAAGGCGGTTCTACCTGACATGAGCCGGCAATCCCTTCGTGCAACAGCCCGTCGAGCCCTCCCAACACGCCCACCCACCACCCTTATGCACGGGGTAAAATCGAATCACAGGCGAAGAAAGTTGTAGTCCTCGTCCTTGGCGCCCCCCACGAGGCCTTCAGACCTGAGCGCGCCCTTCTTCCTCCCTGCAGCAACGCTTGAGGCTTGAGGCGCTCTTGCGACAAGCACCCACCACCCGCACGCACCTGGCAGCAGAGCGGTGCTTAAGGATCTCGTAGCCTGTGGCGCACAACACGAGGTCTTGAGACCTGGCCACGTGCTCCAGGCCTCCTATGCCAGAGCAGGCCGGGATGCGGCCTGCGTTGTGCTCCGCCATGGCTATGTCCTCGCACTCCTTGGATACCATGGGGAAGAAGTAGCACTCGAACGTCCCTGCCTTGCCTAGCGCTGGGGGAAGGGGGGAGGCGGGAGGGGGGAGGGGGGAGGGGGAAAGGGGGAAGGGGAAGGGAGAGAGGGGGAGGAGCATGGAGAAGGGGGAGTGGGAAGGAAGAAAGTCGAAGGGGGAAGCGGGAAGGGAGGAGGGGGGAGGGGGAAGGAGGAAGGGAGAGCATTGCACGGGGAAGAGAAAGTAGGAGTATTGCATGTGATGGCGTGCCTTGCCACGGAAACAAGCTGACGCGCTCACACGTGGCCGGCTTGACCACGGGTGGGATGGGATGGGATGTGATAGGGGAGAAATGGGGACACAGATGGAGGTACGAGGGCGGGAAAGGAGCATCTCGGTGTGGTAATGGTTACCACTCATGCTGCCCCTCATGTTTACCTCCCCCGCATGCTGGTGCCTTGCAAACCCACCCATCCGCCCATCCACCCCCACCCGCCCATCCATCCCCACCCGCCCACCCACTTAACCACCCACTTACCCACCCACCCACTTAGCCGCCCTCCCACTGACCCGCCCACCCACCTTGGCACTCGGAGTGGTTGGCGCGCACGTAGGAGCCGGGCTTGATCACGAAGGTGCGGTTGGAGTTGACAGCGAAGCTGAAGAGCGACGTCATGATGTGCAGCTGCGACCCCAGCCCGTACCCCTTCACCGGCGGCCACTCCACCAGCAGCAGCTTCCGCTCCTTGCATGATGCGGGGAACTGCAGCTCCCACAGGTCGCGCTGCGCCTTCCGCGTTCCTGCCAGGTTGCCCGCGTCGGGTCCCCGGACCTGAGGCGGGGGGGTTGCGGAAGATGGGGGATGTGGGGGGTTGCTGAGGCGGAGGAGGGGGTGAGGGCGGAGATTGCGGTAGGAGGAGCGGGGAGGGGAAACTGGGGGGAAAGAGGGGGTGTGGTGTGGAGTGACGACAACGGGCGGGGAACGGCAGAAGTCGGAAAAGGGGAGAGTGGGAGGATGCAGCCTACCAAAAGCCCTCCGCCACCTATGGCGGGTGACACAACCTTTTTTTTTTATGCACCTCGAAAAGCAACCCAGCCATGACCCACCCAAGGCGGCTGGGGCACCCATCCGCACGCCTCGGACGAGTTGGACCACTTGGGCGACTCCCCGTTCGCCGCGCGCTTCTCCGTCGACTCGCGGAACGCAGTGCGCGCCGCGCAGTCCTCCAGGTGCGGCGGAGGGGGGACGTTTGGCGGAAGAGAGATCTTCGCGGGCGGGCGGACCGTGCCCTCCGCCAGGTCGTACGCGAGCTCCCACGCCTGCGGGGGAGGGAACGGAAGAGATACGCGGAGGGGGCGCGGGCGGAAGATGGAGGGCGGAAGGCGGTAGGTACGAAAGCGAAGATGGAGGGGGAAAGGGTGGGAAGTAGGCAGCACGAGGGGGAGCGCTGGAAAAAGGAGCGAGAGGAGTGGATTATGTCAGTGGCATGGGATCAGACGGCGTGGAATCTGGAGGGTGTAGGAACAAAGAGCCACGCCAATAGCCATTCGCCCGGCAAGGAAGGCCCTTGGATGTGAATAGAATCTCCTTGTGCATGGAGGAAGCTGTTTGGAAAGTTCTCCGAAGTGAATATACTCCACCAAGGACCGAATGTAGGGCGGAACATGCGCGGGCGACACGCAACACCTAAAATGCGATGGGCGACTCACGCGATGGAGTGATATGGAATGCTCGATATTAAATTCCACGCCGAAATCCTCCGCCGCACATCGCACCACGAATAATGCTGTAATGACAGCTAACAGCGGTGGCACGCTCGATAGTTTCTTCATTGCTGCTGGCAGGAGAACAATAAATAAGGTCTTCAAAAGGATCAGTGTGAAGAGTCATTACCTCAGCTGGACTCTGGCAAAGTCAGTTGATTATGCCCAAGTTGGTATGCGAGTGAAATCGCATTCTCAAGTATCGACTCCATCGAAGTTCCCTCACCACCGGGCTGGGTGCGGGGTTGGCAGGCACAGAGGACGGCAGGAGGGGCAGGCCGGTAGAGGGAAGAAGGCGAAGTGGTGGTTTTGGGGAGGAGAGAGGAGAGGCGAGGAGGCCGGTGGGTGGGGGAGAGGATAGAGGGCCGAGGCAACGAGGGAGGAGGCAACCAGGGACCAGGCACAGCAGCAGGCAGTGTAGGAGCGAAGGCCGGCAGTAAAGACCACATTGGCCCAGTTCGGCAGCCACCTTCCAGTGGAGAACAATGGTGTTGGTCTGCAGGCCATCGGAAATCGAGAACACGGAAGCCGTGGAACCCGTCCGGTTCGACCAGTGCACCGTCCGAACCTGACGGTTTTTTTGGGCTGCGAAGAAATCTATTGCAATCGATTTGACGAGTTTTTATTTTTTCACATTTATTTTTTTACAAAATGTGCAATAAAAAACTGGATGCACTCGCTTGCTACATACCCCTTAAGAAGATACTCTCTAGCTCAATTATAATTTGCGCTACAACTAAATTGTTTGTCATTCACTTAGCTAACTGTGCTTTTTACTACTGCATGATATGTACACAATATAAAGGAATGCATATGATGATTGGTGGGTAGATAAATGAATGTTGCTTTTACTATACGCTGTATAATAGATGTGATATGATAAATAATAAATGCATAGTAAAAATATGATTATTATGTCAAAATGTTACAATATGAAGATTTATGAGTAAGGCATTCCTGTATGCTGCAGGAGCCGACTCTACCGAGTGCGAAGTTGAGGAGTCAGAAGAGTCGAAGCGACACAGCAACCGTCAGACCAAGACCGATGTAGGCAGAAACATTTGAAATGAAAAGAGCGGGAACATGTTCAAAATGTCAGAATGTTATGCTCTAGCCTGTAATGGGGTGCTCTGTAGCGAGTACAACCCTTCTAGGGTTTGCTATTTGTATCCTCATTCTTGCTAGTGAACCTCTCTTTCCCTAAACTGTTTCTTGCCTAGCTAGGGCTTTCCTAGCTATGGCGCCTACCTCTACTCCTTATCATCACATGGTATTAGAGCGATATGCTCCTGGCCTGTGGGCCCACCACTTCACTGCTTCCGCTGCTACTGCTACTCCCTATCCGCCGAGCGTCCCGTGATGCGCGGCGTTGAGATTAGGGTTTTCAGCCCGCCGTGCGCCCCGCGGCGCGCGGCGGTTTTCTGCCCGCCGTGCGCCCCGAGGCGCGCGGCGGTTCTCTGCCCGCCGTGCCTCCCGAGGCGCGCGGTGGGTTTCTGCCCCGTCACGCCGCGCGTAACTCCCTGGAGGCGCTGCGACGGGCGACGGGGACCCGCGCGTCGCCCCTTGTCGCCCGTCGTGGCCTGCGCGCGGCCCGTACGGGCTGCGCCAGGCCCGCGCGCGACTCGGGCCGCCTGCGCGCGGTTCGGGCGGCTGTGCCAGGCCCGTGGGTGGCCCGTTCTTCGCTTCCCCTGCGCTGCCCGCTGTCCCCCGTGCTTCTGATGGCGCCCCACCCCTGCTGTTGCCCGTTCTCCTGAATTAGGGTTTGGGGGTGAGGGGAATGGGGGTGCAGCTTCTGTGTGTCGTCCCCTGCTCCTCCTCCTCCTCTGTCTCCCAGTGCTTCAGCTGCCGCTGAGGGGGGGTGGACCTGTTGGAGCCGTCGGAGTGGTACTAAGGGGGGTGAAGGGGGAGTGGAGCTAGGGGTGAAGCAGGGGGTGTGTGTCAGGGGGGGTGGGACTGTTTGGGGGAAGTTGAACGGAGGTTGCCGTCGTGTTGCCAGCAGCACCTGTAGTCCGGGGAGTTGCTCCGGTAGCCCAGTCGCAGCCACCTGTGCCAGTCGCCCATGGGTCCGTTGCTCGTCTGCCGCTACTTTTAGCCGCGGGGCCAGTTACTCCAGTAGTCCGGAGCGTTGTTCCGGTAGCCGCTGTGCTAGTGTGCCTCCTCTTGCCCGTGTGTCTGCAACTTCAGACGTCGCCTCCTATCTCCTCTCCTCTTACAGTCTCGCCTCCTCCTCCTCACTTGCCCTCTGCAATAGCCTCTAGCTTTGCTTACATTTCTGAACTTTAAATTGTTGCTTCTTGAACTTGTGCTCAGAATGTGTGGTGACATTGTGATCCACCCTGAGCTTGTTCTGCTTTGCGTGCTCTGCTGATTACACCCCACTTTGGCTATGGGGGTGTGTCAGAATGTTATGCTCTAGCCTGTAGTGGGGTGCTCTATAGCAAGTACAACCCTTCTAGGGTTTGCTATTTGTATCCTCATTCTTGCTAGTGAACCTCTCTTTCCCTAAACTATTTCTTGCCTAGCTAGGGCTTTCCTAGCTATGGCGCCTACCTCTACTCCTTATCATCACACAAAACGGGTTCCCGCGCCGCACGGTTTGAATTTGCTGTAATAAGGGAATGTACCCCTTATCGGTGTGCCGATCACATGGCTAGTCTAGGTATTTTCGTATTCCTCTGTACTCTTATATAAACTCGATGTATGCATGCTATTATCAACTCAGTCATTTACATTCACTCTGACTTGAGATTCAAAACTTCCGCTGCAACACTTCACTGCGATCAACCCTGAACGATCCTTCACTAAGTCCCACTTGGGATTGTAACATGGTATGAGAGCTACTCAGGGATTCTTCGCAACCACACTTCCGTGAAATTCACCGAACCAAGATCTGGCGAGCGGCACACGCTCCAAGACCAAGATGGCCGGAGGATCCGGAGGCCAAGCAAATCTAACGGTTGAAGGACAACCCAACCCGGCTGCGACAAATGAGGTGACAACCACAATCGGCACTGCCGCTCTCGAGCAACTCTTCGCTCGACTTTCAACTATGGAGAAAGAACTCTTAGACTTGCGCAAAGGCGATGCGGGAACCTCTTCCCAACCAGCACAACCTGGACAACCGACTAAGAAAAGCCGTGACACCGCCGCGCATACCTTCTCCCTCGACACAGACAAATCAACAACAACTGCCCCCCGTCCAAGTGATGAAGCCATCAACTCTACGCAAACACGCTTTCTTAGCGTCTCAAAAATCAAGACTACTACCGCGTTCGACGGCAAGGACTTTTACACATGGAGTTTCGAGCTTGAGCTCCTCCTACAAACGGCGCAGATCTACCATTACTTCGATGACTCCTATCCTAAACCGGTGGAAAACACTGGTGTCGCCAGGGCTCGGTACTACAGCGAGTCCCTCATGGCCTACAGTATGCTGCTACGAAACATGACGCCTGTGGAATAACTCAACATTCGCTCCTACAAAGAGAGCGACGCTCCAGCCATGGAAGCTTGGAAACACCTCGTTGAGGTTTATCAGCCGAAGGACTCGGTCACCGCCAGAAGGCTTCTGCAGCAACTCCTGGAGATAAAAATGGGGCACGGGGAGATGGCAAATCCATACATTAACCGCACTCGCAACATTTGTGACCAGATCACGAAGCATGGGAGTACGATCTCAGAAGAGATCTTCGTTAATATAGTCCTTCAAGGACTCGGGCCAGAGTGGAAGCCCTGTAAAGCATTACTCCGACAACGAGGAATCATCTCCGTAGCCGCGCTATGCGCCGCACTCCTGTCCGAACAGCAGGACATGGACTCGAGCAGAACAAGCTCCGCGCCGCGCCGAGAGCGCCTCGCCTTCTACGCAGACAACCGAGAAGAGCGACGACAACCAAGGCGCCATTACTGCAAAACATGCAAAGTCTTCGGACACTCAACGGATCGATGCAAATCCCGATCCAGCTTCCGCCACCCAAGCTCCACTCACCATAACAGTTGGGTCGGCCGACAAGACGCTCGTCACTCTCAATCTCAGCATCAACAAGCTCGTTCCCCTGCACAACATCAACACCAGCAGAATCAAGGACCTAAGTCAGGAGCTCCCAGGAACGTCATCGCGAACATGACAACACGCTGCCGCCGCGTTGCTGAGCCCGACGAAGAGAACGAAGTCCAAGGAAGACTTCTGGAACCAGAAGAGGGATGGAACAATCCCATTACTGAAGATCACTATTACCTTTACGACGAGGACGGGCAGGATTGGAATCAACCAATCACATTGCGGGAAAGCCCGCCACACGACAATCAGCGCTACGTACCAATGGGATGGAAGGAGGACGAAGAGCCTTCCTTTCACAAGCGTTACAAGGAAACCCTGGTGACTCCGCGACTGGCGCTACTCTTGCGCCGAAACAACACCGACAACCATAACACCTGGTACCTGGACAGCTGCTGCGGACAGCACATGGTGGGATCCACGCGATACGTTTCTAACTTAAGTCGTGCTCCCGCAACCTATGTCACCCTCGCCAACAACGAGCAGTTGCGCGCAAACTCACAAGGCATTGTCGTCCTACAAGCACGAGACAGTAACACCCACATCTCATTCAACGACGTGCTCTACGTCCCGAACCTCCGCTTCAATCTGCTCTCAGCTGGACAGCTCCACGACTGTGGCATCATAATTCACACGGATCTTGCTATACGCGATCTCATCCTTACCTATGCTCCCCCGGACACTCCTCCTGAGACGTTCAAATACCTCGGACGAGCCCGCTCTATCAACGGGATCTACATCCTGGACTTTGACATACCTCCCTGTCAAGCATCATCGGACGAGCTCGTGGATCTTGTTCCCCTCGAGTTCGCCTTCATGAGCCAGGAATCATGGGAGCATCCGGATGGTCGACCATGGATTCGTCGCAGTCCTCATCCCCGCGAGATCAACCTGCACGAACCAGACATCAACGGGTTGTGCACAACATGTCACACACCCACGGCAAGCCGCATGAAGCAAGTTAAGCGGGAGTAACCAGCAATTCAGGAGGCGGAAAGTGCTGAGGCAGAACCCACAGGCATGACACGTGAAGAACTCGCCGTGTCATCTCACCGTATCTTCGGTGAACCGAACAAGCAATTCGGGCAGCAGCGGGTGATCAGACCAAGGCCCTATTCAGAAACCCTCCGCTTCGTTCTAGAAGCCAACACCATTACCTTCGACGAAGACGGAGAACCGCGCCCATACACCCGCGAATATTACCGTCACAAGATTGACCCAACTTGGAAAGACCCTAACGCACCAGAGGAGCTGAGTGTTCAGGAAGAACGAGACAAGGAACGAGCGGAAAAGAAGCAAAAGCTATATGAGGAGCGTATCGCGGCAGGGTGGGACGAGCAATCAGCACACGGAGGATGGGGCGACGAGGATACCAACCCAGAACAAGACACAACCTGGGCATCCGCCACTGGAGCATAGGGAGCCAGCGCCAGCGGCACAGTTACCACAG